TTAGACTCTAGACACCCCTTTAGAACCAGTGAAAAAATCCTCGTAATATGTCTAAGTAGGGGGATAAAAGAGAGGAAAATCACTGAGTTCTTATAAATTCCAAAAGCAGGAACCTACCAACCTCATTTCCCTCTATAGTTATCTTTGGGAGATTTTTGTAAAACCTGCCCTACATTTACTGTGAATCTGTGTTTAAAAACAGACGGAGTGCAGGGATGGATGGACATGTGACAGGGAAGGCAAGGCAGGCATGAAGAGGGACCTCCCCTAGCTGAGCACACAGACAGGAACTACTGTGAAGGTACTGCAGGAGGCATTCATTCCTTCACAAACATTAACTCTCAGTTCTGTGGATGCAGCAGTGTTGGGGGCTGGGCTCATGCGCCATGGCCCGGAGAGTTGCCAGACCTGGGACGAGGCGGTTAGTGTCACAGGGAGCCTGCCATTCAAGGAGGGAAGGGGGCCTGGAGACCTTTGATTCAACAAATATGTGTCAGGCACCCACCACACGGCAGCTGGGCACTGTGGAAATGGTACTAAAAAAGATAGAAGCTATCCTTGCCCTCAGACAAGGCTCATCATCTCAGGAGAAGAAGGAAAATGAAACAGCCATTATGGAGAAGTGCAGGAAGCGTTATTTTAGAGAATTTGCAGGGTGCCATGACAGCACCCTGGATGCTTAAACCTCAGACTAGAGTGAGTCAGGGAAGACTTCCTGGAGGAAGGGGTTATTTAATCTGAGACCTAGAAGATGAGTTGGGATTAGCCAGGCAAAAGTGTAGAAGCTGGGAGAGGCCCACAGAATGAGGAGTCGTCAGATGAGAGGGGAGAGGAGTCCTGGGGCTGGGGGTTGCAGAGAGACTAATGAAAGACCGTGGTCCAGGTCCCACAGCCGAGTTCTAGCTCCACACAGTCTCCCTGCCCCCTGCCTACCGCATCGCAGTGTACCATCCCGGGTCCCCGCGGAAGGAAGAAGATGCAGACAGAAGATGTGACAGTATAAGATGGTAAGACGGATCATGGCACACACATCACTGGACCCTTTGCTGATTGGACTTGTTTCCCTCCAGGTGGAAGTGAACGTCGAAACTCTGCGGGCCAGTAACAGACATCTCCAGATCCCCGTGTACAGTGCAGTCAATTTAGGGTTCGGGGAGCAGGGCGGGACCTTGAGTGCCCCCCTATTGGGGCACTAATGGGACAAGGAAAAGCCTCTGTTAAACAGCAAAAAAGAGAAAAAAAGGGTGTTGGGTGCAGTTTGGGAAAGGGAGACTCTAAGGGAGAATCTGGCACAAGTAACGACAGGACTGTGGTTAGGCTGGTCTTGTCTCCTATTGATTTTTGTCAGAACGTGTTAGAGATTTTCCACTTGGGGCCTTGTTCCTACTGTTTGCAGAGTTGTGTCTCCCAGTGGCTGCTGGGGGTGTGTGTGTGTGTTGCCTGCTGGTTTTTCTGTGTTGCACCTGGTAAAATAGTAAGGGACCACCATTCTGGGATTCATGTTCCATGCTGGGCCGATCATTCCTGCCCTTCAGTGTATCCCAAATATTTTGACGATTCAGAAACTAAAGATATGAATTTTACTAACCCAGACATGATAATTGGTGGTAGTCAAGAAAATATTTAACTTGCCAAGAACTATCATTTGTGTGTGTATGTGTGAGATTCCTTAACTACATAGAAATGGAGGAAAGATACTCAGGAGTGTGACCTTAACTATTAGTCATAAACTACTTCTGTGCTGCCCCTGGAGCCGTGATCCTCAGAAGTCTGGCTTTCAGAATGTAAATGTACCCACGGCCCCCACCTTGTGTCACAGTTTAAAGAACCCTCTTTGTTAACTCTTTTAACAGCATTATTTCAAGACATTTAAATGTCACCTTGGGGATGTCATTAACTATCACACGTACGTAATTGTCTTTCTTAATGAAGAAAAGTGTTTTGACAGTTTGGATAAGCCGCTGTCTTTCTCTTCAGCATTTTGCCTTGGCAGAGAAAGTGAGTCATTTCTAACTGAAAGAATGAGCAGTCTTTGTGTCAGGGATGGGGACTGAAAGTTGAGATCTGGAAATTGTATTCAGATCAGAGGTGTGCAAGGAAGTGTCTCAGACTGCCTTTAGTCTGTTTTGAAGTCGTGTGATGGGTGAATGTCTGTAGAACCTAAGGAGGGCGGAGGGGACCGATCCCTACCTTCAGACTTGGAGGCAAATGCAAAATAAATTCAGAAAATGAATTGCCAACCTGAGGCTCCGGCAACAAGGTTCATATTTTTCCCTGAGTGATTTCAGAGAAAAAAACAATAATGGATAAAAGTTGCGGGGAGGAAGATTTTGATGCAGCAGAGAGAAAAGGCAGTATCTAGCACACGTGCTGCCTGGAAGTGATGTGAACCCCCTATGAGGCAGCGACTTCCCCGTGGCCAGTGGGCTTGCAGCTGGGGTGGGTAGCGGGGCTGTGAGGGACAGAAAGTCCATGGTGCTCAGCCCAGGATCCGGGGAACCAGGAAACTCCGTGTCTATGTAAGGCCGAAACAGTTCTCCAGAGTCAGGATGGGTTAGGAAGGCAGCACGAAATGCATTACATTCTTTCCAAGCTTATTTAATGATTAAGCACAATGAGGTCATGAAAATGGAAATGGATCTCCCAACCTGGCCAGCAGGTGGACAGGAGCTCCGGCTTCAGAAAGCAAACAGGTCAGAAATGAGCCACGTTCATCTGCACCTGTCTCCCTGATGGGCCCCTGGGAGAGTGATGCTCTCCAACTACTGGAGGAACAGACAGTGGGCCATTGATGTTCTCTTCAAATGGTGCTTAGTCTCAGGAAGGAATAAAGAAGTACAAGGAATGGAGACCACAGGACAGGATCCTTCACCCTCTGTGCAGTGATGGCCAGAGACCAGGAGCCGAGAGCCCAGTTTGGGACACTTCCAGGGGCACCTGGTCACCACCTCATCATGTTTCCCCCTCGGGGATTGCTATTTCCAGAAACCGCAGTGTTCTGTGGTCATCAGACTCTCTCGTGGTAACTCATTTCCTACAATTCTTTGCATTTGCCTCCAGTGATAGGGAAGTCATGGAGATTAAGCTTAAAATCACCCTTCTTTAGAGAAAAATGCAAGATATTTCAAATAGCTTTCAGAAAAGGTCACATCGAAACTTCCATTTTTGGTACTTTTTTGGTGACATCTTCAAGTAATATGTTACCCAGTAATTGTATTTTTATAAAATTTTTGTTTTTCATGATGGAAAAAGTAATTCATATTCATGTACAGAACATTTGAAAAACACAAAAAGGCACAAATAAGAAAGAGCAAGAACACCTGCAACCCACCATCCAAAGATAAATACCATTAACATATCGGTATTTGTTATTCTTGTGTGGGTGTATAATGATTTGATCGCTCTGTGCACGCACATTCAAGATCGAATTTGTTTATTTAACCAATAGTACATTGTGAACATTTTCCATGTCCATAAATATACATCTGGATGACAGTTTTCAACTGGACTGTTCCAGCTGCTGGCTGCACCATAATTAATTTAACCAGTCCCTTGTTAAACACGTAGATTATTTCCACTCTTTTGTGATCCTAAAATGCTCTGATAAACAGTTTTATGTATTCATTTTTGAGCACATCACTGATTTTTTTTATGAGTTATTTCTAGAAGAGAAATATCTGGGTGAAGTCTCTGCACACCTTTATGTCTTTTGATACTGTCTGCCCCTCTTCCCATCTCTCATTGCCTAAGACTGTAATAATCAACAGATTTTCTCCGTATGTGGGAAACCTGTTTCTTTGCATCTTTGCCAACACAGGGTGGAGGCATTACTGTCGGCCCCGCTGATTTCCCAGTTAGGTTGCGGAAAAGCCGTCATTGTTTCAATCAGCATTTCCCTGATGGCTAGAGAGGTTGCACATCTCGTCACTGCTCATTCTTGCTCTTTAGTCATCCGAGCTCAGAAGCACCCACCCCGTCCACGTTGGTTATTAAGTATTCGTGTTGGGCTTCTACATACATTTTAGTTTGAGGAAAAGACATTGGAGATGAGTTTGCTGGGAAAAATACAACTGAAAGAAATCCAGCTGGGAATTGTTTTCTAAAGTGAATGCCTGCCATTTAAAAATAAATCTGTGTTGCTATATAGGGTTTGCTGAAGTCCGGCCACTTGCGTATTAGTTCTGTCTTTGTCTCCTAATTCTTTTTACACAGAGGAAGATTTTCAACTGTTCCTAAACTCTAATGTGTTGATGAATAAACTAAAAAGTGAACACTAGATAAATTTTTTTCCAAGTGGACATGTGAATGAATGTGTGTGATTTTCTTTCCCCATGAATTCATACCGAGGATCTCTGTTGCACTAGTACCTGAGACACAGGGGACACGTGAGCTGTTCTTTGGTTTGCCTGCCATCTGAAAGGCCAAGGCACTGTAAAAGCTTCAACTAAGAATTTTGCTGGAACATGTCGCTGACCAGTTTTGCAGCATGGCTGGCTTAGGGGAGAGGAAAAGACTAATCATAAGAATTTTCCTTGCGGTCTGCAGCCAAACTGCGTATTTCAGGAGGATAGGAATGGTGTCCAGGGGTTATTTTTCTCTCCTCCAAAGTTTCTGCCCTAGTTTTAGGTTGAGAGTAAACGATCCACCAGTAATTATCCAACTGAAATGATTGGTTTAGCGTTTTGATGTCATCAAAATGGAAGAGGAGCATGTATGAAATGTGAGAACCAAATTCATTAGTGAAATGATTTTGGATGGAACTCTATTTAGAATAAAGATTGCATTCCTATCTCGTGCAGGCAGCCCCAATTCCTCATTGTTACCTAGAAGTTCATTAATATTCCATCGCTCAGCTCCTGTCACTAGTCTGGAACATTAGTCAGATCAGCCTGTGCAGGACGAGTCGAATTCTAGTTCTGGAGTCTTGCAGAATGCCTAGCAGGTGCTGATTTAGGAGGGAAGGGGCAAATGAAGCAATCTGAATGTTTTTCTTTGTCTCATTATTCAAGGTTTCAAAAATGAAGACAACATGACTCTAGCATGGGAGGGCGTCATGAAGGAAAATTACCTTGTCAAGATCAACACAAAAGCCAATGACACATCAGAGGAGTATGCCAGTCGTTTATTCTTGCTTGGCCAGGCGCCCCTTGTGCATGGAAGCTGGTAGAACAGAGGCAGCTTATTTGAGCCAAGTCTGTAAGATTTGCAGCTGAGAGCAATGGCACCAAAAAGATGCTACTCGGGCAACCGAAAGTGACAAACACATAAGAGTTTGTCAGCCCTACAGGAAGGGCAAAGGCTACCCAGCTGCCATCTGATTGTCCTTCTGATTGAAGGGAAGAGAGGAGTGTTTGGAGCCTGCAGGGCAGGGCCTTGGGACCAGGTGACAAGAGTGTTAGTGCCCGTGCCATGGCTGCAGAGGTGAATTCTGGGAAGACCCGCAGGTCGTGGGCAGTGGACATCACCTTGCAGGTGCTGCACAGGTATCTCTGTGAGGAAGAAGCAGAGAGATCAGAAGACGGTGAAACCGTTTGGTTGACCTGTTGCACACTGTCCCTAGAAGTCCCGAACATCCTTTATGAGTCACATGGAGTTGTTATAAACACCCCGTGGAACTAGATAAGTCACTGACTCCGTAGATGGTCCTCAGGAAATGTGGCATGCAGGGAATCTAGGAGCGTGGCGTTTGTGTTCAAAGTGCAGTGAACAGGGTTAATGGTCAGATGTCACTCTCCCTGAGAGCTCCAAACACACCTCAAAATTCAGAGTAAACAGAAGAACAGCTAGTCACTTTGCTGGGTGCAGCCCAGCTGTCCGGAGCACAGGATGTGATGCATGCTCCTTCTCTTTGAGTAACACAGCAGATGCCCTAAACTCTCCCCCATTCCTAGACTTGGGGATTTTAGTTCTGGAAGGAAGGGACGGACTTTACAGGTCATCTCCCACCCCTTCCCCCAAATAAAGGGAGCATCTGTCTGCTGTACTGACAGCTGGAGTGAGCGTGCAGTTCTGCTCCGCTTGGGTATTGGGAAGAAAGTAAAAATGGTAAAAGCCGCTGACGTTAATTTCGTTGAAAATGAAAATGATCTGTATTTTGTTCTTTAAAAGACTCTAAAATGGAGCCTAATAGTCTTTCTCTCTCTCTCTCTCCTCTCTTCTTTTTAACTTCCTTGAAGAATGAGGCATCGTTTCAGACAGCTGGATACAAAGGTACGGTTCTGTTTATAGTTTGGGGAATATTTTTAAAATCTGTTATCTTTGAGCTCTCAGCTGGAGGCCAATGTCCAAAAATAGACAAGGTTAATTGTTAAGAAAAATGCATGTGACCCCGTCCTGTGTTCAGCGCCCTTCATTCACTGCAGAAGGTCTGGGATGGAATTGCTGGGATGGCATCGCTTCTCGGAGGCTCCCAGCCCACACGGAGCAGTCCTGAAGTCCTATTTCCACGACCTCTGAAATCTCACCTGGCTCTGTCTGACCCAGGACCCCTCTTCTCCCTTCTCAGCTGTAGAGGCAGGCGTAGGATGCTTGCAGTCACAGGGACCACCAGAAAGGCTCCGAAGAACGGGCTGGGGGTCTGGGAGCCTCCTTGCTAGCCTTTGATGCCACACTAGTCTGTCACCTACTTAATCTGAAATGCAAATGCACGGATACACGTGTGAATTAAGCTTAGAGAGAGCCGGCTGCCTCCACCCTGAGCTGGGGAGCCCGGAACTCTGATTTGGCTGAGCAGAAATGACAAGCGAGTCACAAATGCTGGCTCCCTGTTAGGCTCTGAAGAGGAGGCGATGCCTGGTAGTTCTCATGGTGTTTTGAGAACGGCTCCTGGGTGATGGCTTCACTTTTCCTCCCAGTGCTGTGCTGCTTAGGGCAAGATAGTACCCCATCTGGTGTGGGGGTCTCCAGCACCCAGCACCGCCCACCTAGTAGGGTCTCAAGGAACATTGGTTGAATGAATAAATGAACCAGAGGAGCCGTCCTCAGAGCTCCGACATGAGACTCTATTCAGTTCACAATTTCCTGTATATGTTTTTATGTGTTATTTGCCACCAGCATCTAAAGAATCTGAGGCCGTGTTTCCATGGCCTCCCCTCCTGAGTTGGGTCCTGTGCGGGACGGCGGGCCGATGCCTGGGGTCTTCCTCCCCACCCCCGTCCCCCCGCCGCCAGAGTAGCTCTTCTGTTTCTTCCCGGCCTTCCCGGCCAGAGCTGCCTGCATGCGTTAGAGTCAGCTACGCAGATGATGGTGCCTCGGTGCTGACACCCGAAGGTTTCCATCACAATTCACTTTAGTTCTCCGTTGCTGCGCGACAAACAACCCCACACTCGAGTGTCTTCAAACAACCGCTTCATTTCGCTCTTGCTTTTCCGGGCCCGGAGTTTGGGAAGGGCTCAGCTGGGCAGTTCTGCTCCGCGTGGGCTCAGCTGGGTTGACTGGGCCGGGCTGGGCTGGTGGTGAGGCCAGGATCTGGCCCCGTGGGGCTCCTCCTCATGGTCTCTCTCTCCCATGTGTCATCTGTTCCATGTGGCGGGGGAGGGGTGGTGTGTCTCTGGGCAGCTGCCTCTCTTACATAGTGGCTGGCTTCCGAGAGAGAGGAAACAGAAACCGCACAG